TTTTTTTCTTTTTCCAAAAAACGTTGCTACACACACCCCATAACAAGATAAACATGATGTTGCTATAAAACATGGGCTTGTAAAAGTCAAATGAGCACAGTCTTGAAAAATGTTTTTAAAGTTACTTAAACCAGATTTGGTTCTTCTACAAGCTTTAAAGAAAGCACATCATAGAACAGCACAAACAAGTCTTGGTTACTGATGATAATTCCTTTTTTTCCACAAAACTTTACTTGGCCCTTTGTGGGTTGTGAACATTCTATGATCCTTGAAATACCAAATAAGTAGTTAAAAAGCCCATAAATGAGTTCACATCTGCAACTAAATGTACTTTGATGAACTGCCTTTTGCAAAGAAACAGCTGCACAAACAAAAAAATAACAGAAGCTGTTGTCTCTGATTGTTGTTTTTCTTCTACTGTGATCTTAAAAAAGACCCAGTGCTCTGAAGATAAAAGGATTATTAAATCTCAATGACTGTGATTGTCCTTTGAGTGAGAGATCATCTCATTAATAGGAATGGTGGTGTTTCTAAAGATATAAACATGTCACAAACATAGTGATTTCAGATTGTTTTTTAATATTTAATGTCTGCTGTTTGACTTAGAAAATGTTTAAATATATGTAGCCTGATAAATAAAAACAACATACATTCTGCCATTATTGTCAGAAATGGTAGCAAAGTACTATTTTTACTGTTATTTTATGACAATGTTAACACATTTTTTTTGCGTTAATGTAAAAATCTATCTGGAAACCACATACAACTCATCATGCAAGTTCACTTGTAAATCAGCTCTGCGTAAGTACACAGGGCCAATTCACTGACATTAGAAGTGAGAGTGAATAGTCTTGTTTTCAAATGTAGTTTTCATTATCTTTATTGTAATCACTTAGATCATCACTCTGTGCTGTTACCTACTCCTGTGTAATTGTTTTTTATAGGTAGCCTTGTATAGTTTTTGACCACTGGTAGCGCTATGGAGCAATGATTTTATCAGTGGGTCCCCAATTAAGGCCAATTGATATTTCTGTGTAACCTATGCCGTCGTGAGCGTTTTTAATTGTGCATTGGTGTCTGTGTTGCTCTGCAATTACATTGCCGAAACACTAGTTGGCGGTGGAGTTGTTCCACTGTGTTTTTTCATCGCTGTTTCGTGGTCCACGTTTGTCTTCACTGAACTTCAACTGAATTTGAAAATGGTGGAGAAGAAGGACAATCTGGAAATGCATGGGAGGAAATGCAATGTAGATGGTGAGTAGGGTGGATGGTTAAATGATGTGAAACAAAAAGCCATCAGTTTTTATTTTTAGTGTTTTAGGTAGCATTTTGTAGCATTTCATTAGCCTTAGCTAGCTAGCATTAGCGTTTTTTTGTGCCATTGCTTACCATTAGCGCCAGCGTTAGCTAACATCACCGTTAGCTAACATCACCGTTAGCTAACGTCATCGTTAGCACAAGCTAACTATGTTACTGTTAAAGCCATTGACAGCTCCCCGAAGCCCTCACCCTAACGCAACACAGCAAGTAATGTAACTAACATTAGCTAAATTGTTAGTTAGCAAACAGCGAATACAATTGCTGCTGTAAACATGCAGACAGTCCCAAAGGCAGCACACCAGCTCCAGACAGCTACTCACAACTATCCTGAGAGTTACATGACAAAAAGACATGTATGGATAAAATCGCTCACCCCACCTTTAATTATGTCAATATTGTGTACCTTGCAGTCTTCTCCCCTTCCTCTGCAGGCACATTACTACATTTCTTAGCACGTTACCACCACCAATTGACAATCAGTTGAGATAACATGTAACCATCTGCATGGACAACACGTCCTCATATAGAAAAAACAAGAATAGGTCGATAGTTGATGTCAGCCTTTATGAATGTTTTAATGACTCGCATAATACGGTGGCCTGTAGGTTTCGGGCCTAATACAAAAGCCACAACATGAACACAAATCCCACAACACAAATACAAACGTTTGTGTTTGTGTTGTGGGATTTGTGTTTGTGTTGTGGCTTTTGTATTAGGCCTAAAAACTACGGGCCACCGTACCATAACGACATGATAGTTTTCTCCAAAATTACATATACAGTATGAGCGTTTTCTGTTCCATATTGCAACACGGAAGTTAACCCTGCCTGCTAGCACATCGACCTTGGCGTCGCCATGCATACAATCACGGTTTAGACACAGATGGTTAGGATTTTTTCTAGAATCGCTTACTCCATCTATAATTCTAGAATCGCTTACTCCACCTATAATGCAGGATTTAAAATATTTTTAATAGGCTCTATATATGTATGAGAAAGGAAATGCATTTAATAAATTTGCTCTATTAGCTCTCGCTCTACAAGTAACCCATTGCAGTGAGCCAGTATAGACAGCATTCCCAGCTGATTCCCATTCACTTGACGGGAGATGCACAGTGTAAATATAAACTTAACTGGCAGGCCAGTGAGCAGCAGCTAGGATGTAGAGGAGTTACACTTTGCTCAAGAGCATTTCGGTGATCATTTGTTGATACATTTAATCGAAAAAAGTAAAAAAGTAATGCAGGTGGCATTACGTTGCACTTACAACAAGCAAAAATAGCAAAATAAATATATAACAGCGCGTGTGTACTGAAGAGGTGAGACAGCTACAGCAACTTCCTCTAGCACATATTTGATAAATAAGAGTCCTGGCAGTAAAACAGCTGTATTGAGCTGACCTGACAGCTACCTGGCAAATAGGTGTCTCATGGTTAGGTTAATAGGCTGATGTGTACATTGAGCGGACATGACAGTTGTCTCTGAGGCAGGTCTCTCTGTGTTTGCGTGTGTGTTTGTTTGTGGCTTCAAATTGTCTTTTGTCATTATGAACGGATGGACAACTGGAGGGAAATGGAGAACTGGGAAGAAAAACAAACAAAGATGCACAAATACACACAGGCACACACAGCAGACCCCAAATGTCTTAGGTAACGCGTCTTCTCAATACTCAGACAAATCTGAAAACACTAACTTCACAGATGTAGACAACCATTATTGTCCTCGTATTTTAAGCATTTGAAAATGTGTGTAATCTTCCATTTGTGTGTCTATGTGTGGCTGTGTTGGTTCACACTGATCATACACTCACTAAGAACATTTCTCAGTAAACTCTTCCACCCATGAAAAGCTTTACATCCTTGAGAGTAAAACTTTAATCTAATTTAGCCATTTTAACTTTTTGACTTTTATATTTCTTGAGACATTTAACTTTTTTATACTCTCTGGGAGGCAATTAGCATTGTAGTGGTGTACAGCAGAACAAAAGAAATCAGTTTCTAGAGTAAACATGGAAATCTTTAACTTCTAAGTAGAATGGAACTAAGACAGAAGCACATTTTCTACAATAATGGATGTGCCAAATTAACAATGCTGGATGCCTCACAGTGATACAGCCAAAGCGTTTGTGACTTAACGTGACTGGGTAGGCAGTGTGAGCGTGTTTGTGAGTGTGATTTGTGTAAATCTTAAGAGTGCAGCTTCCAGTCGGTAATGCAATTAAGAAGGCCATGATTAAAAGCTCCTCTCATCCTGAGATTACTGTTAAACACTAGAATATGAGTCCTGTGTGTGTGACAGAAAGCAATTTTATATATTAATTGCAAATCCCTCATTTTGCACCTTAACATAGGTTATACGTTATTAGCAGCATTGAAATGTATGAGGAAAAACCGTGTGTGTGTGTGTATGCATTTGTGGGTGTGAGAAGCTGCTTCATTTGCTGGAGCCTCAGCTCTATAAAGCCATTACCGTACAAACAGCAATTAGCCTCCGTGTGAACAATTGCTGTTCTGTTCCCTAATTACTGAATTACAACCAGGAGATTAACGATGGTTAAATAAAAACAATTAAGAACAAAACAATTAAGTTTTTTTCCTACCCCCCCAAAGCCATTGCTAATCCCCAGTGATGTTAACTCGTTTTAAAGGGTTCAGATAACTTGTAGTATGTGTGTGTGTGTTCAGCTAGTAAAGGTAGGAATTTCAGACTGAGATGTGATGTTCCCCAGAAGCTAAATTCAGAGGATATTAGTTATGAGATTAGGAGAAGAACAGCGAGCCCTGAGGAGGGCAGGGAAAAGATGAGAGATTTGGGATCATTAGAAAAATGTTTTTATCCTGCTTATCAGCCATTGCTCTAATGGATTCGAGCTATTCCAGTTTATCGCAGGCATATTGTTGAGAGAAATGTGAAGCATCAATGAATTATTAGTATTTCTGGCTGGGGCAAACACTCTGTTCTGAATTAGAAGAACATGGAGCCCCCTGGTAAGGAAACGGGAGTTTAATCTGTTGTTGTTTTGAAAAAAAATTTAACTCCTAGGGTACATTTATATTTGAGGCATTAATAAAGTATGTCAGTACGCCCTGGTTAGCTTTTCCTGCTCAAGGGCACAGTTGATTGGTGCAATTTTGCATGTTGCAAGGACTGAACCTGTGATCCTGTGATGATACAGAGTAAATTATAGATCTAATGTGTCTCTAAATGCTGCCCCGTTCCCCTGAGGCAGTGTTTCAGTTAGTTACTGTGGCATACGTAGGTGCCGTACTATAGCTTCATTAAAGTGGCATTATTCAGTTTTCTGAACACCAAAGTGTAAAAAAAAGACCCAAACAATACAAAAACAAGGGTTAGAAAATCTCTAGAGCAGTGATATCTGTGTGGATCGGAAAGTTTCAAGTTTAAGAAATATGTTTTCCCAAAATATTAAAACCTTACATTTTAAGTTAAATGGCTAAAACAACTTGAGACCGTTTTTGTAGTTGTTTTAATGTTGTCTTTATGTGCAGTGCTAAACAATTTTTTCTGTAGAAGCCAGAGGGTTTCTATCAGGAGAAGCTGACCATACACTGAGTCGCAGGAATATCTAAAGTTGTCATTATCTGGCTGGTTATTTGTTGGATTGATATAATATTATATAGTGTGTCGTGAATAGGTTTTTACAAATCTGTTGTCACTCACCATCTTCCTCTGTCTGTTTGACTATCTCCTCGCTCTCCTTGCTGCCCTCTGGGTTAGCCAGGACCAACCGCAGTCTGACAGTGACAAAGGGCCTCAGCCCCCTCAGGGTGTAATGTGACGATGTCTGGATCAGCTCCTCTGCTGCAAACTCCTGCTGGTTAAATACATACTGGTACTGCACCTGGAAAACAGAGGAGAGACATGACATTTATTCCACTGTAATTTGGTTAAAAACAATTATTACTAATGCAGAGCTGCTCTTATGTAATGCACTTAACCCTGAAATGCTTTGACAGAATTGTCAAGTAGAGAATACTGTGCAGGTCCAAACTATGAATGTCAAATCACACATTAACCTGAAGTACTGGTGTTGCTAAATGTGCATCTAAAAGGTTTAGCAAAACGCCTATAGATAAAGCAAATTATAATATGAAATTGGAGTTCAGAGGTTGGAGGTGTCAATCACCTTTAGTTACAACACATAACCATTTGGTAATAACAAGATGTTCACTGCTGTCAAAACTTAAAGCTGGGGTAGGTAATGTTGGAGAAACTAGCAAGAGACAGCTAGATTTTGAAAGCAACTGGAAAAAAATCCCACCCTCTCCCTTCAGACCTCCTTCCAAAGCCACTCACACAAAACACATTGTCACATGCAGAGTGTGTGCGGGTAGGCAGGTAGGCAGGCCAGCCAATCATTTAATTTGGCCCGAATGAAAACATTAGATGTGCTTATTGCAGACGTGCTTATTATCTAGCTCCTGTCCTGTTGTTGCTGCTATAGGCCTAGACTGCAGGGTGGTACCTTTGTGCTGTCTTGTCCCTCTCCTCTCTCCTTATGTTGCTTTCTGCAGGTGTTTCTACCCATCTACCTACTGCCCCCATGTTCCATGTTTTTACATCTCTATGTGGAACTTGCATTTAATTTATTGACTGATGTCAGGATGATAAAGAGAATTTCAACAAATATAACAAAAAATGTGTCTGAAATAAATTGCCTACCCTAGCTCACCTCACTTTTACATAAAAAGGCAAAATATGCCACTCATATTTACTTCAGTCACATAATGATTTCATGGTGGAGAATACATTTAAGTTGACTTTGTCATCACAGCACAGATTTTTGCCAGCTATGCGTACCGTCAGATTGTAGCTGTGGCACCGTGTCACAGCATACCCAAACGTCTCCCATTGTATAGTCAGCTGGCGGGCTCTGACATCAACCACATTGACATTTTGGGGACCATGGACTGGATCTGAAGGAAAGACAGAAACAAAAGTTAACTCTTCAGCTAAGCAGGAGAGACAGAAGGTTGATACAAGGAGAAACTATGAGCAACTGATTCCACTGAGTCTGTGGAGGTACTCTTTGGCAAGAGACCAAATTATGATCAGTTAAAGATCTTTAAGGTTTAAACTTTTGATTTTTCTACCCTCTTACCAAAGCCGCTCAGTTGTCCCACAATTGTTCTTTGAAATTAACATTAAGACAGTTTTGTAGCCAATATTGCACCATCCGAATCCAAAATGTGATAACTAAACTAAAGATTGCTTTTACATTGCTTAAAGTACACAAAGTTCCTACTGTCAAAGTAACTTCACCATTTATTCAGCATTTCTTGAGCTGCAAAAGACCCAAGTTCCTCCTGATAATATTATATTATCATTTTTGTTAAATTGCATAATATGACATGAAACCCAACTTAATGTTCCCTAAACAATGTGTGATCATTTGTGATAAGATATTTTGGAACAACATAAATACTGTTCATTTTTGGAAATTATATATGAGTTCATCAGTCACCACATGCTCTTTAATAAGTGACATACAGACATCTTAACTCTAACCTTTCCCTAATAATCCAATAACTCCCTATATCATATTTTACAGAATAATTTTGACATTCAGCAGAAGGCCATTTTGATGAAGGCATGACATGAAGGCTATAAACATAGTTCACAGGTTCCAACCTGCGATCTATTAATTACTGGAAAGCATGTATGACCACTAGGCTATGGTGCATCATTACAGGAAAGCCTGATTCGCAAGCCAGAGATTACAAGAAAAATCCCAGTATTGATCTGCAGACATCTGGAGTGGTTATTACTGTCTTCCCAATATGTCACTCACACACAAAACAAGAGACACACGCAAACACACCCACGGTCTCCCACACATGGCCAAAACAATCACATCACACACACACAGTATTGTTTCTGCCAGTGGGCTCTCATCCCCAGGTTTGTGTACCACGACTGACTGCACACTAACAAGCTTGTTCAAAGCAGTCTTTCTGTCTGCCTAATTAGTTTCCATCAGTTGCAGTAGCAACCAAAACAGGTCACTGAATAATTAGATAAGCTATATTAGCTGCACTTCTCCAATAAAAATTAAAACTTTACTCACAATATTTGTGATCTCCAAAATCTGGAAAGAAATGGGTTTTGCCATTGAAGTAAAAACTTATTTATTATGTCTGATAATTGTTGGATGAACAACTTAGCTAGCTAAGGCAGGATTTTATTCTTGAAGTTCTAAAATGTAAAGTTTTTAAACTTAAAATTTACAGTCAAACTCTGGAGTTCAATAACATAATGCCTCTGTTGTTCTAGTTATTGTTTAAAGATGCTTTGTGGCGGGGATGATTTACATATTACAAAATATCTAAATTGTACAGTAAATTGGACATCAGATCTAAACCATGACAAATGTTTTGCTTCTCAAAAAAATCAGTAGATGTTGAAGTTTAATTGTTGAGAATTAAATCTGTCCAACATAAAAACTATTTGTTCAACTTTTCTCAAGCCTCCAAAACATTTGAATCAGCCTTATACGGGATACAAAGGAAAATTAACCCTATATTTAACCCCAAAAGATTGTGTATGAAGGCAGTTGAGTGCATTATAAGATTGTCCAAACAAGCTTCTTACTATAATTTTAAGATCAGCCTAATGAGACTAGATTAAACAACGGCACTATGGATAAGACATCTTAGCCAGGAAACAAATGTTTCAATGTGTGTGTATATATGTTTGTGTGTGTGCATGCAGAAGGAGAAAAGCTATAAGCTCATGGATGAGAACTGCGATAAGCTTCCCTGCAAGTCTGAGAGATGTTGTCCTTTTGTGTTCTTGTATGTATGAGAGTACTGTATTGAGAGATGTATGCATTTGTGAGTTTGGGTGCAGACTTTAGGTTCCCTGGGGTGCTTTATGATTTAAAGAGTCTGTGTTTCTACTTAAAAGACCAAAGCCTATAAAGTAATCTACCATTTCTGGATAAGACTGTGGCAGACTGACATTTGGCAGTCAGGAAAGCCGCAGGGGGGGAGTGATATAACCAATGCATAACCCAATCCTCAGGTCAGCACAGCAGGCAATATGCTTTCACACAGCCCACATACTGTCCCCAGAAAATAGGACTTTACTGCATCTGACTTAGACTGATGCAGATGGCCTGACGGCCTTCTCTTGATTGCACTTTTATTTAAAAGAAAAAAATGTTGCATGTCATCATGCATATAATATAAACCTGTCCAGAGCATAACTTGTCTTCAACCCAGTGCATGCTGGGATAGCTCCAGCCCCCACTCATAAACAAGACTAGTGGTTACAAAATTGACAGACAATGGAATTTATGAACAATACTGACAAAAATGAATAAACATTTTGTACAGTAGATGCTGTTAGTGACAGCCTGCTCAGAAGCACAAACATTTTAGAAAAGGACACTACAGTGGGAGACAAAAACTGAGAAAGACCTTGTTTTCAGAGTGAAACTCCTCTACAGAGTAAATATGAACTAACCTGTAATTATGCATGCTTAAGCAGATCAAGTGATGTACCTATAATGAACGCACACAGTGTAATTCTTCAATTACAGAGACAAAATCACTCATCACTCAGCCGGAGAGAGAGAATAAAATAACCAGTTTTCCCCAAGAATGGCAATAAATCAAAGCCTCTCTCACTGCAATGACTCTCGTTTCTCCAAAGACTCAAACCATGTTAGCTAAATTCGATTTATGGTCAGAGGTTTGTAAAGGAACAGGCCAAAAACAACAAATAGCAGCCAACCAAATCCCCGTCACCAACCATCACTACCACCCACTTTATCCAGTAGTCTTTTAGTTGAGTATGATGGAAGCTAATCTTTCGGATAATCTGGCTAGCGCTCAGTTGGAGCCCCTCTAAACAGATTGCCAATCTCTGTTTTGGAAAACACTGGTGGGGGAGGGGGAGGTAAATTCAATGAAATGAAATGAACCAGAGACAAAGGTAGCTGGGAGTCCACCAGTCATAAATAATATCACTTTTAAAATCAAGTTTAAAGCTTCAATAAGTGTTATGTTGTATTAAATGCATTGGTATTACTGTATGTTCATACAATTTGTTTTGAGATTATCACCTGCCTCCCAGCAATTCTAATGCATTAAAACTGCTGCACAGCACTGCACCCCAGGGTTTGGTATGCCACTTGTGTTTCTTCTCTTAAAACTTAAGGTCAAATCAAAAACACTTTAAAAACAATCTTTTCTAAAAAAAAGAAAACAGATGGAGAAAGACGAGAAAGAGAAAGAGAAAGAGAAAGAGAAAGAGAAAAAGAAAAAGAAAAAAGTTGGAGAAGAATGGAGTAGGATGCAGTGATCCAAAGCAATTGGGAGGAAGAGAGGTTATTAGAATTTTAACTTTGTTTATATTGCTAGGTCGATTATGGTGTCTCCCAGGCTTCCCTTTGTCATGACAAATGCTAAATTTGCTACATCATCCATCCGATTCTCCAGTCGCTTCCTCCTCTCCCCTCTCTCCACAGTCATTCTATATGCTGTGTTCCACAATCAATTATGACTTTTTGTTTGCATCCATTCTAGAGCTCTCTGAACCCACTGACACATCAAACACTGGCTGTGGCATGAAATTGAAGAGACTGACGTGCATTGTGAAGTAAAAACAAATAGTGACAGTTAGAATAGCTCAGAAGAAGTGGGTTAACGTCCAAATATGTACACAAATAAGATGGATGGGTGACTGGCTGGACTGATCAGTAAATAAATGCACCAATGGATAAATGCAAAGAAAAGAGACGTCAGTTGCAAGGAGAAAAAACAAGCATACCTCCGAAGGGACAGATGCCCAGCACTGGGTGAGTGTTCTAACCTCATTAGTCAGGATGGGTCAAGGGTTGGCATGTTAGCTATCACACACTGTGAAAGGGCAGTTTAGATGGCACAGCTGGCACACAATAGGACAAGGCCAAACAGTGATTCATGTTGCAGCCAGACATGGTCTACCTCTCCCTGCGGTGGTCCAGGGGATACAAGTAGCCCTTGATATGCTCATTAAAATAACAACAAAGCCTACAGCTGGCCGATGGCTTGTTAGCTTACCACTACCAAACAGCATGAACAACAAATTGACTTCAAGACTATTGCAGTATGGAAAATGGAAATGGCATTAATTTTCACGTCGTCTCTGCCCCCCCCCCCCAATCTGCAGTCAACATGTTTCCACTGTATGCGCACTATGTAGATTCTAACCTTCGTTTCATGAATAATTAACATGAGTCCACAATGTACGCTATGTTCATTCTATCTTAAAGTCTCCAGGGGGAAGTATGGTGCTTTACTTCGCTTTAGAACAGTCTTTACAGCAGGATTTATGTGGATAAGTTGGTTGGTGTCCTCATTCTGCTGTGGCAGGCTAAACAAACAACTGTGAAGTTGCCCTGTCTCATGTACTTTTCCTGTTTTGCAGGTTTGTGAAGTAGAAATCTAAGTTAACTACATTTTGCTGTATAAACATGTTGTATTAAGTGATCCAATTTGCTTTTTGTTAAATTCAGAGAATATTTTCTTATGGTTTGCAAGCACTCCGTTTTGAAAAAGGTTACATTGCCTATGATAACTCTATAATTCTAACATCTATAAAATGTTAATAACCATGGTTGCATCCAAATCCTTTTAGCACTGGGTCTTTTAGCAGTGGGAATGCCTTTTCCTTGACTTTTCTACAACTCTAGGCTGAAATGACTGTGATCATCTACACAATGCCGACTAACAAGCATATGTGCAAGTGGATAGTACCAATTCCCTGCTGATCTGACCCGAGGTAGATATAAAGTTGTTTTGCCTGCCTTTGAAAGTACTTAGGGGCCTATTGGATGTTTTGGCAGGTAGATATCTAGTTCAGGCAAGAGCCTAGTGAAGCATTGTGTTTTGGGATGCCTTCCTGAATCTGATGAATGAGCAGCAGAAAT